ATTCTTTTAAGCTCTCTCCTCTCTATGAATTAACTGTACTTCAAACTTCAACCAATACCTTGAGAATTCTTTCATATCTTTACTATTGTTGATTTTTTCTCTTTTTTCCTCCCTGGAGAGTCCCTGGAGAGTTTTACACTTTGGTGGGTTTTTTTTCCTTTTCAATTATTACACAGACTGTTTTTTGTTTTTTTTTTTTTTTTTTTTACTTCTCAGATTTTGCTTATGATTTACTTATCTTTCTTAACCATGTTTTTTCATTTGACTTCAAGCCTGAAATGAATTGGTTGGAGCAGAGTTTATGAAAGAGTTGCAGAGAAAATATCAGGATCAAGGAGCTTTTGGAGGAAAAAACAGCACTGAAAAGCAAAAATAGTCACTGGCCTGGAGATTTTTTAATCATGCAGCTGTGGATAAGACAGTTCGATACCTACTATGTCCATTCAGCTTCTGTTTAATCCTGGAGGTGCTTTAGCACCACTGGCTCCAGGTCAGTTTTCCCAAGATCATCTAAAATTGAAAATTTAGGAATCAATAGAGTATTTTAGTCTTGAGAAGGCTCAACAGCTTTGCAGTTAGCAGAACATCATGATGGGAATCCAGAAACTAAGCTGCTTAATATAAAATACAGACGCAAAAATCTAACTAAATACAGAGGGACCAGAACTCAAGCCTCCATCCCTCCTGGCAAGCATCCTGATCACTAAACTACAGATATATGTTTCTCGGCTCACCTACTTTCTTCATAATGGTGCAGCTGTAACAGGAGGAGAGGAATGAGTGCCACTACCGACTAGCTGATTTAATAGGCATACTCCCAAGAGGTAGAAATACCTACTTAAATGTGCTCCACTAGAAAAAATGGAGTACTAGAAAGTCGGTGAAGAAGCTCAGAATTGAGCACAAGCCTGCATACTAAGTTTTAGACTATTATACAGAAGAGTTCTTCCCCTTTTATGTGTATTTTAAACATTTAAGCATTTCAAGTGTTGCTATCCTTAAAAGTTGTAAGGGGAGGAGGGATGATGGAATAGGCACCTACCTGAGGAGGGAAAAATGACTCCCTGAGGCCCTCACTCAGCGTTCCTTAGTCTCCTATGAGCTAACTCATGACGGCAACTTTGAATTCCATTCTGAGGTTTTTAACTCCTCCATGCACTATGCTGGGAGTCTTGCCACCGAACTTCCACCTCTGAACTGACAGATCTAATAGATGGAAACGAGACATTACGACACAGGTCTCTAAAGGAATTTAGCCTTTGGCAGTCCATGCCTCAGCACTCATTGTAAATGGAGTAACATTACTTCCTGCCTAAATATGGAGAAGCCTATATGTGACTGTGCTTATACATGAGTAAACTATAAGATGGTGGTGAGGTTTACTGCAAATTCATATACACTTACATAAGATTATGATTTGAATTTCAAGTAGTAAAATCAACTGAAAGGATTGACTGTAGATCTCAACAGCACTGCAGAGCAACAGGTATCAAATTCAAACTCAAAGTCTTCGTCCTGCAAGCTGTCCCAAACTATTGATCAGCCAAATGCAAACTATTGATTAGCCAAATGAATACTAGAGCATGACCACGTCCGGAACTGGCTGGGCTTTGAAATTTCTGTTAGCATTTTCCATTTTTTTCCCCCTATATCTGCTTTATTTCAAATGTTTTCTGAATTTCCATTGTGTTAACAATGTTATTCCTTTTAGTGAATGTCAACTATTTGGTGAATGTTACCAAACATCAACCATTTGGTAAATAACGTTAATTGTGTGCCCAAGGTAAACAAAGAGATCAGATTATTTACATGAGTCTTAAATTATCACCTATAACAGGGAGGAGTAGCCTATGCTACAGCCATGGGGAAAACAGATAAACGATCAACAGAAAGTTAGGATCATAACCTAACCTACAGTAGCCTGAAAATTCTCTAGTATACTGATATAAGTATAAATAAGTAACGACACATTATAGATAAGTTCTGCACTGCAGTCCTGGATCAGAAAATCCAGGACATTAGCAGAACTTTCAAAAGTAGCTATTTTGTCACATTTTTGGTAAGAGTCAGACAACAACTGTAGTGAAGAATGATACTTTTGTTTAATCTGCTTATTAGTGGTTAAGCCAAGCTCTCTGTATTGGCCGAGACAATATAGATAGATATTCGGGTGTCATTCAATGTAATTTTGAAGTTTACACACTTTTTTACCCTGGCAAGCAAAAATATTTCACCCAGGATATTATGCATGCGCAGGGCTGCCAAAAATATGTTTAAATGTTACAGATCTACGGTGCCATCTGGCAAAGCAGCTTTTCAGATACAGTCTAGGGACATAAGAGAGAGACACTGCTGGATATCTCATAAGGTACCTAAGGGAGTTCTATCTCCAAGGTATCCAAGATTTCATCTAAAATATTGCAGACCACTGTCAAAAGTAGCCACCGTTATCTTTTCCAAGAGAAAAAAAGAAACAAAGCAGGAAGGAGAAACACCATAAGCTCTCAAGAGTATATTGTATTCATATATGTGCTACAGATTTTATAAATATATACACACAAATATATGGATCTGCCTATGAAGTGCCCCTTGCAAGGTTGACAGGGGTTGTCACCATTCCCACTGATTTCAGTGAAACTGATATTAGAATTTAACTGTATTATGCAAAAGAGGAGAAACAAATAGCAGCTATACCTTAAAGGAAAAGGGGGGAAAAAAGTAAGATGAAGAACTAAAATCTTTCTGCTCAATATACTTCTCATCCATCCTCATGATGCTCTGGGTACTTTAAACTATTCTACCTGCTTTACAACAGGTACTAGATACCATAAAATCTACCAGCTTCACAACTTTGTATTTGGGTCATTCAGTAGTTTGATCTCTTTCCACTTTCCTTTTTTTAAACAGCATTCATAACCTCTGCAAATATATTTTTCTAATAAACAGGAGGTAATGTGTATTCCAAACTGAGAAACTTTAGTTTAGGTATTATGCAAAGGAAAACTAGCAACTTGCTGATAAAACCAAATGTTGCATAACAGCAGAAATTAAGAATACGATTGCTAGCAATGCATGAAGCTTTAACAAAATCATTAAATATCAGAACAGAGCAAAAAAAATCAACTCTAGTCAGCGATACGCTCAACAAATTTAATTTCTTTTTCTGCTTCTATAGACTCTTCCAGAAAACCATGTTTTCACAAATATATTCACATTTTCTCAATGAATTCTCTATTTTCATTATTTTTATTAAAAAAACTTAACACTCGGCAGGAAAAAGCCTGAATGACCAAGAGGTAAGCCATGCCATGTCTCTTCTTAAACAGTATGAGTCTAATTTTTATAACTTTAAAAGGAGTTTTAAGAACCATTACTTTAAGTCTCTCAGGGAGAGATAAACCTGAGGGAGATCGAGCTGGTAAACAGGATCAGGGAGATTCTGATCATCCTAAACCTTGCAGTAGAGGAAGAGGCAAATTCTGTCCACAGTATCCCACAAAAATGAGACATACTAACCTAAAATTTACTGGCCGAGTAAAAATTTTAAAAAGTAATCTTAGAACAAATTGGTAAAAAGTACATGCATAGAGTAACAATTTGAACAGTATAGACAGGCCCTTCCTAGATCATAATCCCCAGAAAAACATGATTTGGGATGGGGGGGAGGAGGCACTAAGAGCCCAGTGCTCCTGCTGCATTTAGAATGATCTAATTTGTTAAAATAAATAAATAACCGTTCACTCTGCATGTATTCTAATTTTCTGTCACCAACACAAACTAATAGAGTAGGTGGGTTTGGTATAAATGCAGAGGAAGGCAGTTATCCTCCCGTCTGGCTTGCTTACCTGGGTCTGTGCCAGAGCTCTGAAGAACCTGTCATCGAACAGGAAAAGCGATGTTTATCCTGTGTCACACATCTATAAATAGGCATGTATGTATATGTATGGGCATGTCTCCATGTATCTCATTTCTAGTGCAAATAAACAAGTACATTTAAAATTCACTCCTGAGCATTTCCAACAATTAATTTTTGGCAATCTGCAAACAACACAGGAGCAGTGGCACGTACAGCCTCTATTCTATTCACAGGACAATAAACTGTATCCATCGCATTCACTCGTTTCCCATTTTTCTGTTTCAGGTACACCTGACTGCTAGTCACTCCCCACCCACTTTACTGCAGACCTGCGACCTTGACTGACATAAAGAAAAAAAATATACATCCTCGCCACATCTATGTTAGAAGATACCTCTTTACATATGGGTGTCAATGCAAGAATACACTTCTCTGCATGAAGCACCAATCAAACAAACCTATAAAGCAAATAAAATAATTCAGTGCCCCTTCTTTTGCCCTTGCCAGAGACATAGGACAAGCAGCAAGCCAGTGCCAATCCATAGCCCCGCTCTTCCAGGTGATGAGCTGAAAAATTCAGCTTCAGTGACCACCTGGGCCTCTGAACTTGGTGACTCATCCTCCTGCCTACAGCTCTCCCATTAGGACAATCTTGCCTGTGGCTTTTCCTAAGGGGTCGGAAAAAAATTTAGCATGATTATACTGGGGCAAACTCAATTTCTGAACCTTCCTCACATGAGTGAAGAAGCTCTTTGGTCATTTTTGGCAGCATCCTTCTCATCCTGTCAGCAAGCAACACCCTCTGTCAGGCCTCATAAAGAAACAGTAATCTAGGATAAATACCTCTTCTTGCCTTTCAGGATTAATAGGAAATGAAGCCAAAGTATTCTGCTGACAAGGATGAAAAGGCAATATTTAAATTAGAGCAAAACCTAGTATACACTGTATGTAATTTGATTAAACAGAAATCTAAGTGATCAGTGTTAACAAGGGTCCACTTTGATAAACAGAGAAACGTTAAACAAACTCTTCCCAATTAAAAATGCAGCCAGACTGCCTGCTGCTGCGCTCAGCGAAACGAGGGTGGCCTTCGCCGGAGCGGCGGCTGGCAGCCGTCCAGCACATCGCGAGGATGAGCTCTCCATACCAGGTACTTATCAGGGCGTCCAGCCGCACGGTCGGTCCCACCAAGCGCTGCTCCAGCGCGTCCTCGCTGCACCCAGGCGCACGATAGCTGGTGGCTACTCACTGCGTCTAAATTACAAATCCGCTTGCACGAAACGGAGCCTGCCCAGTGCCAGGGAACAGACAAAGCCTATGCAAAGAGGTAGCCCTCAGAAGGGATAAAGCAGCTCCTAGAGGAGAAACAGTGATTAAATACAGTCCAACAAATGATGCCAATAAACAAGTTTTCAATTACCAAAGGACATCCAGACAGCCAAAAAGTGCCTGCTAAAAGCTGTAATCAAACCACTCTACGCTACCCACTTCAAAAAGTACAGAAACATATAATATATTTTGGCTGGAAAAGAACACAGAGAACAGACTATTTAAGAAAATTGCAACCTGCTACAAAAACAAGCTTGAGTGCCTTCTATTTAAGAGAGTGGGGCTGCATTTTAGATTCCATTTCTTATTTCAGGTGAATTATATCTCTGAATCACACAACAGTTATCTGCCTGCATCTTCTTTTCTTTGACACCATTACATCCTCCTGTCCTTGACCCCCTATAAGACTGACAAGCTCTGGGGGCTGGTAATGGGATTAAATTTTCCATGGATATTTGCTCATATTTATAAATGAATTTACTTAAACCACATTAGTGTCATTTGTCTGCTTGCTCACTGAAAAAAAAATTCTTTTGGGTTTTGCTGGCATGAATGTTTACTAAAGTAAACTTCAAAGATCTAGGCAGAGGTAAAAGTATCAGAAAGAGGCTTTTCAAATGTACTGAAGTATGAAGCAAATTTATAGTTGCACAAGTCTCACTTGGCCAACCAAGGAACAGAAATAAAATTTGGGGGTTTTCTGACCAATCATGATTAACCGACACATCATAAGGACTAAACACCGAGAGCAGAAAACTGTCGGTAACCGATCAAAACAGTTTCATGTATTAACAAATAGTATTCAAATATTTTTGAAGACTGGATAGGTGCAAGGATGTAATATGATTATAGCTTATCATGCACAGAGAAGAAGTCTGTATTTTATTAGAATAGAGTTTGTGCCAAATTGTTCATTGAACTGAAATTCCCGAACATAGCGTTTCACCAGTAGATCATTTGGGTATACTCTAGTGTCTAGTGAAAGAATGAACAACAAGAAGCTCATGTCACAAGATGGTTGATCAATGGCTTATCCGATATAGCCAAGACACTGACAGCACTTTTTTGCATTATAATGACATCTTTTCTGATTTATGCTCCCAGTAAAGATTACAGATCGCATAAGCATTAACTATCAGAAGGTAATGCTGCAGTCTAGGGCCTCAGTTGGCACTGATGCTGCCCAGATTTTTTAATGTTCAATATCTCCTTTTTCCTTTCCATCTTATCTTCAGGCCTGCTTTAACTCTAATCAGTAAGAGGTTCCTAAAGCACAAGTCTTGGTAACAATAACATCTCACAGCAGTGCTGCCTATTAAATGCAATGCGTTCTGGGCTCTGGGGATAAAGTAAGGTCATTTCATAAATGGATTCACAGCTCTGAACATTTAGCTTTTGCTACCTTCTTTAAATTTCAGAAAATTAAGCATTAGAGCTTTTTGAGTCAAGCCCTGCAGCAGCTGGGCTAGTGTTGATATTCACACGATGAGTTAACACAAATACCACCTCCCTACAAACAACTCTCTAAAGACGAATTTAGGCATGGCCAAGCAGTCAGATCAACATCAACTTGCCCCTTCCTTTTCATTAAGGATAGGAGGCCAAATGCATGAAGAGACTTTTTAATGGAGATAAGTATATTTTTAATGCTTCTGTGAGGGATGCGTATAATTCAGACATAACTTAATCATAACATTGACAGAAAAAGTCCTGTCAGGCTCTAGATTGAAGTTCTGTTTCCCTTATTGTGGGTTGCCTTTAAAGTCTATATAATTGTTTTACAGATTAAAAAAAAATGCAATACTGTAAGCATCAGAGGCAAGTTTTTTAGGGCTTCTTAAAAATAAATATTTTGCACAAAAGGTTGTATAATCAGCAGGTTTTCATCACACACCTGTAGTCATAGACAAATTTAAAAACAGCTTGCTGGAATGAGTGCCATCCAAACTTATCTGAACTTCTAAGTGATATTTCTTGTCTTCTGTTTCCTTTTCCTAGCAATATCGAATTAGGGCATTTCATTAATCATTCACTGTTTGCCTCAGTCCTTCTCTTCACTGTAATATTAATGAGTTTTGTTGCACTCCATGAAACCAGAAATAAATGGCTTGAGAAAAATGATGTCTTTCAACATTAGGCATTACAAACTTACACTCGATAATAATATTTAGATCCTGTTTAAGCCCTTTTACCCATTCTTCATAAAACATTCTCTTGCTTTCTCCATATAACTCTCTCACTGTCTTTGAAGTCTTCATAACTGGCCCTAACAGAGAAAATCCCAATGCTGTTATTCCCAGCTGCCACCAAATATAGTCAAACAGATGTGCTAGTCTGCTTCTCCAACAGGACTTTAGGATAGGAACTCAAAATCTGTAAGGTAGTTACTTGTTTGTAGGTAAACAGACATTTTCTCACATATGTTGTGCTACGCTAAACTTCCTGAAGCAGTACAAACTTTGACATAGTCCATCTAATTTTTTTTACCTGACTTAGGTCTCCCTACTAAGTTGTCCCATAACATGGGGCCCAACTCTGAGAAACTCTGGAAAGATCAAATCTGAATATGAGTTTCAAAATAGAACATAGGGGACTCTGAACAACTAATTTTTTAAATTAAAGTACTGTGCAATTTCTAAATTATTTTCTTTTTAATTCCACTTTCATGCAACAGCAGACTGTAAATTTCACATTAGTTCTTTGCTTTCTTAATAATGTGTCACATTGGGAGAAAAAAAGTGCATGCCAGCTCAACAAATCAAAGTCAATGTGATTTAATCACTCTCACTTTAGCCAAGGCCATTAGCATGGCACAATCAAATAATCAGCTGCTGGGAAGTAAACATACCAGTGGCCTCTGCCCCCCACCTGCTCTCCCCACAACAGCAGCAGCAGCAGCAGCGCCTTTCCTCAACTTGACAGAATAGGCCCTTTTTTCTCATCCTCCTACCCTGCCTGCCTGTGTCCTGCCCAAGGCAAGTGTCTGTTTTGAGCATTTTCTGCCCTGAGTAGTCATGGGGAATGAACCAGCCTCTTGCTGTAGAAGAGCTCCTCTCCCAGACTACATTAAAGGAGGCCAGGGCATCACGTGGAACATGCATAGCCTTGAGGAAATGAGACAGGCCTGGTTCTCAGCCTGGTGTTTTGCCAGCATTAGAGTTACTTCAAGCATCAAAATCTGGTTTGAGTGTGTTTTGTTCTAAGTGATGCTTATAAGAATCTCTCCAGTCCAAAAATTGGGCTGAATTCTTCCAGACCAAGCTTTTAAAGGACTTCCTATATGAAGGCGAGATACATAATATTACAAATGATCTTATACATCTTCACTGAACTTTTTCAGGTCATTTGTGAGGTAAGCTTTGAGGAAAAACTTTACGTAGTTCTTAAAGTATTGAAACTGATCTGCACTTCACTCCTCATTTAGACCTTAGGTCATTAGCAACAGACTTTACCATCATTGCAGGTGTAATATGGCCTTGACATAACCTGCTGTAATTCCTGCAGTCAGTGAACTGTATTTAGGAGGAATTACAGCAGGTAATTCCTGCTACAGGAATTAGTCTGCCTCCTCTGTCGGAGTGTCAGAGTCAAGCCAACCTACAATGGCTTAACTAACCAGTTAAATCAAATGGCATATGTTCTGCTTTGAACTACCCATGGATGACTAAGTCAGTCATGTATTTAGACATGGTTAAACTCAAAGCACATACTGATGATAATATATCTGGCACCAGGGTAAGCACTGATTTTCCTTAGATCTTTCTAAGGATTCTGAAAATTCCTCACAGACACAAGTAATGGTAGTCTTAGATTTTTCCACCCGTTTGGAAAACAGTATTTTCCTACAGCACCTTGTACAGCAGACCATTCAAAAGGATATACACCCATGCTAATGAACATTAATACACTGAGTAAAACAATTCCAAGTGTACAGCCTGATACATTGTTACAACTTGCTAGTGTCGAACAACTGCAAGACCCTATAAAGATTTCTTCAGCAGTCGCTCTCTGCAATCAGATTTTTATCCATGTATCCTGATGCAAGATGACAGTCAGATTGGGTGCAGCAGTAACCCAACTATTGCCAGGCTAAAGCAGCTATATTCTCCTTGCAGAGAGGAGAGGAGAGAGAACCATGTAACTTGGTGAGCCAGATCTTTGCACCTTACAGTCCCGCTCTGCGTACGCGCCATGGATGGGACGTGAACGTGTGCCTTAAGGATCTTCTTCTGGGCCACCTCCTAAGGGAAAATGGCACCAGACGTTCAGACAGTGTTGCTTTGGTCTCAGAACTCCAATGACGGGGAAATCAACTCCCTGCATCTCAGCCGATCCAGGATTATTGAAAGGAAACCAAACACCAGCAAACAACACCGTATGGAAAAATTGTCTGTTCAAAAAGCCCAGGGGAAGAGCTCCAGCAAAGCTCTAAAGCAAACCTGTGCTAACAGTGCCACAGCATCAGGGTGGTATCGGCCTTCCCCTGCTTCAGTTACCAGTTTTTGGATGGCTGGAAGAAAAAGGCTTTTCTGTCCGCTGCTTTCTTCCCAAAAGTACTGGGTTCCTTGTACTCAACCAAGTTTGCCATCTTACATAGGTGTGGCAGGGAACAGTTACTTTTCTCCGTATTGACCAGTGAGAAGTTTAAATCCCAGATTTATTCATACATTGTGATATGGGTCTGGTTTTTTTTTTTCATATAAATAAGCACATTTGTAATAGACATGTAAGGTTACAGGTGAAAACTGGATGGCAAACTCAAGGCTTAGATATTTTAGCTGTACAACATTTGTACTTAATGTACTAAAGCCTTGGAAATTTGAGTTGCATGTTCTGTAACAAGCCAATAATTCTATCTTCAGAATTTCAGATTTAAATATATTTTTGTTTATAGACAAGACAGATTTAAAATATGATCTCGGAACTTTGTAAGCACATTAGAGGATGAACTATGTTCAAACTGTGGCCATAAATTTATAATTCTGGAGGGAAATGTATTGGGACTGGATCACTTTAAAAATCCGTC